GTAGATAATGTAGGCTTAGCTAACTGAGATATCTAATTGTAATCTGCTGCCAATTATAAAATAAAGGAAGGATCGCTGAAGTAAAAAAAAAAAATAAAGAACGAACAAGTAAAATAAAAAAATATAAATTTAATAAAAAATACAAATTTATAATTTATTGTCCAGAGCGAACCAAAGGACTTACATGTTTATATATTTTGATGACTGAAATTACAATTTTGATGCATCTATAATAATAATATTAAAAACGTAGTTTCGATATTTTCTGTTTATAATGCCCCTGAAAATTTTGATCTGCAATATATATGACCAGATTTTTCAGATATTAGAGCTATTAATTGAATACTGTTATGGGCTTCAGACTTATCCCGGTTTCCAGTTCTTAGTTATAATATTATAATTTATTAAACTATACCATATCTATTATCATATTAAATTTAATAAAAACCTAAGTTGCATTAATTTATCAATTATGTGATTATATTATAAAATCTTATATAATCAAATATAGAATTAATCTAAATTTTTTTAAATTTTATATCGACTTTGACTATATTTAAAATCTAATCTAAGTCAATTTTAAATTTACAATAATTCTGATTCTATATACAATAGACAATTCTAGGCATCTCTGACCAAATATGTTTAGCTTATATATCTCTGGCCCAAAGCTATGCCTAATCATGTAACTTAATTAGGGCTAGGATTATATAGAGTTAGAGCAAAAGCAAGTTATATAAGCAAAATTACCTTCTCGACACTTTTAATTAGTAATTCAAAATAGATTTAGATAGCCGTTTTTGATATTTTTCACATTCTTTACTTTTTCGTACTTTTTGTTGTTGTTTTTGTTTTTTTAGACTAATTCACAATGATCATCATTTATGCTACACAAAAATGGGGATCACGTGATTATTTAGTATTTTAATTAGCTTTTAGATCTGAAATATTATCGTTAGGCATCTCTGGCTAAAAATGCCTAGAAATACTTATATACAATATAAGGTAAAATGGAGTATTGTGGCGAAGTTAAAATTACTACTAGCAAAACTTTGTACTTACTATATAAATAATCTTTTTTTTTAAAAAATATAAAACTAACTCTTATTTTGAAATAGATTTTATATAAATTATCATGGTATGATAAACAAAATTTAGAACATTTATAAACCATTTATACATGGAATACAAAATCGAATTTTGGAGGTGTAGGGGGTATTGTGGCGAATGTAATACAAACCTTCCAAATTTGAAATTCGTGACTCAGGGTCGATCTATCCAATAAAAGCATGAGATTTGTCAATTGTAATTGGTTACATTCTTACACGTGACACTGACTAATCTAATAATACAGTAACAGCTTTTTTTTTTACTTGTAAAAACTTGTTAATTTTTTATTTAATTTTTTTTTCAGATCTAATACTTCTAGCAATAAGAAGTTACCTTTACTACATTTTAGTTTTGCGCTCCTCTTTTTTCTGTTTTTTTCGTTCATATTCTTTTTTTTTTTGCTCTAAGTTTCGTTGATGATCGATTTTTTTTAAGTCACGATCTCCTTTCTCCGTTTCGCCTCTTCAACCTTTCTCTCTGCTTCTTCTTTTGCCTTCTTCAATTTTTACCAACTTTCGTCATTAGTAAGAAGCTATGCAAATGGAAGCGTCTTTCTTTTTTTAGGGCCAGGTTCAGATTCAGATCTATTTTCTGAAGAGGCCTCCGAATTCACAGTTTGCGAGACGTGAGGGAAGTTATATTTAAAGATTGAATACAAAGAACTTGTTCTGGAACTTTTATAGGTTTCTAATTCTTCTTGAGTTGACGTAAGTTGAACTTTTAGTGATTTGACTTCTTTTTTAAGGCTCTCATTTTCTAATACTAATTGTATAAAATTTGTACAGGTATAATGAGAATGAGTAGTTAGTTTAGTAGTTGGTTGAGGGGACGACATGACTGGTTGAGAAGGCTGGTTAGATGGAGGTTGATTAGGTGAAGGCTAGTTAGATGGAGGTTGATTAGGTGAAGGTTGGTTAGGTGAAGGTACGATATCAAATCTTTTTGTTATTAATGAGGGGTCTAAATGGTCTGAACTTATGGCTTTGGGGTTAAACGGCCATATCTCTGTGGCTTTAAATACGTTACAAATAGCTGATGGGGTATAAGTATCAATAAAAGCTGGGCCAAAGAGTTTCGCAAAGGTATGTTTTATTACTACTTTGTTAGTAGCATTATGATATTTGTCACATTGTTTTCCAAATTCCTTTTTTAATTTTGCAAAAGGAATTTTAGACGGTTGCAACACATGGGTCGTGTAAGATGGAAGCGCATAAAGAAGAACTCCATTTTGGCAACAAAAATCGATACACGTATAGCTGATATGGCTCTTATGGCTATCAAGCATTAGCAAGACTGGGCGAATTAGTGGAATTGAGTTAATGAAGTGGGTAAGATACATTTGGAAAAGTTTTTCGCGCATATATCCGGTATCCGTAAAACCCATTACTGTTCCAGGGAGTGCGCCTTCTAACAAACCCGGAATTGCGCGAACACCTTTGTAGATAATCAAAGGTGGGATATATGATCCGGCAGCTGAGATTGTGGGTCCAATAGATATATGCTCATGGGAATTTCTGTGCACAACTTTATGAACCTGACATTAGTGTTACAAATCGGAAGTTGACAATCAATTAGTTAGTTAGTTGACAACTAATCGATTGAAAATTAATTATTATTTAATTAGTTGCAACTAATCGATTAATCGATTAGTTGCAATTAATCAATTAAT